CTAATGGGAATAATCAGAATGAATCAAATCACAGTGCTTCATGTGTCTCTGGCTGGTTACCTTGCTGTACAGTGACTATTTACTACACGCTACTATGCTGTATTAGTACTTGTAATATACTGTTAACTTCCTACCAACAGTATTACTGTAGTTTTCACTTTAAATTTTTAAAGCATGTGCCTGTCTCCCTCCAGTAGAAGAGAAGAAAAGCCCCCCCCCCCCCCATGATTTTACTTTCACTGTGTCGAGGGTCAACACACAAACACACACACTTCATACATCAAAGGAGGAGGACTCGTCTGCTGTCAACCAACATCAAGAAGAAGAAGAAGAAGAAGGCGCGTCGGACTCTGACCATGTGGACAGTCCTGTATGTTTTATGATCTTTTATCTCTTTTCCTTCTCAGCAGCTCAGGCCAGTTGATGTTGAAGTGAAGCTTTGACTTCACACTTTAATGTGTTTGTAATATCCACCATCAGCCAGCTTTTATTTTGGTGACTGCTGTTGTCAGACTGTAAATGTGTGTTCAGAGTTTGTGTAGTGAAGTAAAGCCGTGAGGGCGAGACTGAAGCGTAGACTCAGACTCTTCATTGTCTCAGGCTGAAGTTATTAGAACAATAGGAGGAACAGGTGGAGCTGGTGACACCTGATCATATGATCAGTTTATCATGATCGTCCAGCACAGATGTTTAAGTTCATTCATCCTGTGTGTTCTTCTTCTCTGAATCACATTTCAGTAGAACATCAGTCACTGTGAGTTTCAGAGACTCTTCACACTTTCACTTTTACTGCACACTGACGTCCATGAGCACAAACACAACATCCAGTATGTTCTATTACTACACCTGTATTAATCACACAGAGGTGAGGCAGGTCAAAGTTCACACGTGATGACTGATAACTGTGTCAGCTGACCCAGTGGAACGACCATATCTGGAGAAACGTCCGTTCTCAGCCTCAGTATCAGGAGAGGAACTGATAACTAACAACCGGAGGGAATGTCCGACACATTTGAAAACACAAACAGAGCGCTGACCTCGGGTTAGACGTCAGGACGTCCTGATAAAGGCGTGAAGAAGTGACATGATCCATGATCCTGCTGTTTCTCCACAGAGCTGCCCTGATCTGGATCTTCAACATCCCAACAGGTCAGTCAGTCAGTCTCTGTCTGTGTGTCTGTGTGTGTCTGTGTGTCTGTCTGTCTGTCTGTCTGTGATGGTTCTGAGTCTCTGTCTGTCTGTCTACCTGTCTGTCTGTCTGTCTGTCTGTGTGTGTGTGTGTCTGTCTGTCTGTCTGTCTGTCTGTCTGTCTGTGATGGTTCTGTCTCTTTGAGGTGGATCTGATAATAATGTCTGTGCGGTGTCACAGTGAGCTGCCTGCTTCACATGGAGGCTCCTGTTGGAGGAAACGTCCTATTGTCCTGCGTCTACAAAGACTTCGGCTCCGCCCCACAGAATGTGTCCTTCCTCTGGTGGGACAAACAGAAGAAAGTCCTGTTAGTCATCGACCACAGCGTCCCTGAGGTGAGACTGCAGCATCAGATCTTCAGAGGTCGAGTTCTCACGTTCCCCGGTCTGTACAGGAAGGGGAACTTCTCCATCGTCCTGCAGGACGTCCAGGAGGAGGACAGCAACGACTACGCCTGCATCATACCACAACTGAACGTCCAGCAGGACACCAGACTCTCTGTCTCAGGTCTGTAGCTGCACCGGGGGGGCGGGGCTAAATAAACCAATCAGTACAGACAGAGAGAGTTAGCATCATGGATCAAAGTATTGATCCAGATCTTCTTCATGTTGCAGGTGAAAGTCGTGTCAGAGCATCATCCCTCCATCTGACTGCTTTGTGTCTCTCTCTTCTTCTGTGGTGGAAACTGGACTGATGCTGCTCTCTCATAGGAAACAGTCAGTGAATTCACTCCAAGTGAAAAATCAATGTTATATGTATATATATGTATATGTATGTATGTAATTTGAATGATCCAGAATCGATGAGTGAAATCCAGAGATGGATGTGGTCGTCACACACAGACCGAGTCCTGTCCAATCAAACTCATCCATCCTGTCAATCAGAGCTGATATCAGCAGCTGTTTGATGGCTGATCAATACACAAACAAAGACAGAAAAGTTTGAGCTTCCCCGTCAGTTGACTGAATCAAATTGACTTTTTATAATGAAGAAAACTGGCGATAAATAAATAATCATTTATTAAATGTATTGATCCACCCTAGCTTCACAGGAGGAAATGTGATGCGTTCACTGACAGAAAAATACATCAAGAAAATGTGAAGAAGAATGAAACATTGATCGTCTCTGTCCACTCCTTCATGAACAACACTATGCTTCACCATTTACTCAAGTTTGTTATTCAGTTTCTCTTGTGTGGTAACTATGGTGACGGATGACAGGATGTGTTGGTGTCTGCTGAAGTCACTATGAAACTCATTAGTGTCCTCTGCACATCTGCACCTCCTCAACCGAGCTTTTATTTTGAAATAAAAAATATTGTACATTATTGTTTCTCTG